ACCATGTTGATTTCAAGATTTTTAAAATTTTGGTAGTTTATAGTTCTTTATTATTTTTGCAATAAAGACCAGAGGATTGGACGAGATGATTGCTTTTAGGCAGCATGACATAGCAGCAACGAGGGCTCGTGTTATGGTCAATGACATTGAGTATTCATATATACGAGCGGGGAGAATGGCCTTGACTGGTTCTCACAAGAGGCAGATGGTTGAGCAGGCTTGCGCACCTCGCAATATTTGACGTTAAGGAGCTAGAGCCGATGATGAGATTGAGATCTTGCTGACGAGCCTGAGGTTGCGTTTGTTGACGATGTCCACACAACAACTAAGGATATGGAGGGTCAGGATGATAAAAAGATGGTGTCTGAGACAAAGGTGACCCATCATATTCCAACAAATGCCTTAGCTGATACGAAGGTGACTCCTTAGGTTGATACATAGGTGACTTCTCCAGTGGATACAAAGGTTACTGCTCTGATGGATACGGAGGCGACTGCTACGACTGACATGGAGATTACTCCTCCGGATGATATGAAGACGACTGCTCTGACTTCGACGGACTCGTCTGTACACGTTGATGGGGGGTTTCCTAGAGGGTTCAATTACAGTTTTGTACTCAACGGATTTTTCGATCACGTGGCATTGAAATTATGGGATGCAGAGGTATATATATGTTATCATGAACTTGTTTTTATTTATTATTGATACGTTAAAAATAATTTATGCTTTTTACTTTGTTTGTTATAGGAGCGCCTGTCGCTAAAGGTGCCCAATCACGAGGTGACGTTGAAGAATTTTTTAGATGTCATGATGCCTAGGGAGGTCAGAGAGATTGTTGATGATTGCAGTCTCCTTTTATTGGTGGACTGTTTGTTGATCATGCTCAACTTTTCACTAATGTCAGCTTTTGTTAAGCGATGACATAAAAGACATCGTCCTTTCATCTTCCATTTGGTGAGATAACAATTACTTTGGATGATGTCTCCTCCATATTTCATCTCCCTTTGCCAAGTAGTTTCCTCACCTCTCATCTTCTTAACTAGGAGCTTGCATGTATTACTGCTATACGGGACTTGGGGGTTACTGAGGCGTAGGTGATATGAGTTTAAGTTTAACAGAGGTGCTCACTTTCTCCTATCTTGGCTCTAGGATAGGTATTTGGAGTTGGTGCACCAGTCTATGTATGAGGAGTCGCTAGGGTATATATGTTACATCTTGTCGGATGTACTATCTTAGGAGATAAGTCTCATGTATATACTAATGCGATGTACATTTCACTATTTAGTAACCTTTACCATGTCAGTTAGGCATGAGGGTGTGCTACATTGATTGTGCTATATTCTGCACTTGAAGATATGGTTATCTTTGAGACGAGGCAGTTTTCACACTATATGAGTCTATTTTAGGTATAAAAACCTCCACCTGTTCTTCTTAATTTAGGCATTATTTGCGACATGTTTTGACTTGACTGTGTTCTTGTGCAGTGTTAGATATACAAGTATTTCTCCTTCATTTTATGACTAGCGGGTTGCTCCTACCACTACTGGCTTCATACGGGTCAAGAGATGGAAGGCCAAACATGCACACTCAAGCGGTCTTCTAGGGTACAAGATGTGGATTGATGCACTGACTATAAACGATGTCATCTAGACACCATACATAGACCACAGAGTGCATCAGGAGTTTGATGAGACTTCCTTTTTTCTTGTTATCTGCATGGGAGACATTAGGTTATATACACTTACATGAGAGGTGTCTGCACTAGTTTGGGTATGTCTAGCACATCCCACGATCAGTCCCTATTGTGCCAACTGAGGGAATTGATAGATGATTTATGAGTAACGTTGTCAACTCTGATCGATAGTGTGTGGATGGTTACTTAGAGTGGTACCTTAATGTATCACACCATCCGATCATCCCACCACTTGAGCATGCAGATGGTGTTGAACCTTCTGATGCTGGGGGGCCTTTTGATTATGTGGCATCACTTTTACCGCCTCCACCTGATGTGGTTGACCAACAGCGTGTTCAGATGATAGTAGTCATTATGGATAACCTCATGGGTTTGGTAAACCCATATGTTGAAATTTATACCTTGGCATCGCAGGCAACACACATAGCCCTTAGGAGACTAATGTAGATTTTATTATTTTTGTATTATTTGTATTAATAATCAGACATTTCAATCATACAGTTTATTAGATGAAACTTTATCGCTTTCATCATTGTGGGATTAATATAACATAACACTTGACAATTAACATAACTTAACATATGACAATTAACTTAACTTAACATAGACAATTATATAACTTAAGAAAACAATAATAAATAACAAATCTTAGACACTACTTGATGATTTTGGACATTTCAACATCTTGATTATACCGTCCACATATCTAACAATTGTCGAATCAAACTCAACTGGTCCCTTTGTTCTCTTACGGTGTTATGTTCTACACACAACCTTCAAACCTTCATTAGTCTTTAGCTCAATGTTGTAGTATTTCACATTTCCTTAAGTATTAATTCATGGTGCACGAAACTCGATCTCACCCACCTTTCTGTTCTCGGTGTGGGGTAACGGATTATCCAATAAGGATCTTCAAACAGTGAGACTAGTGGTGTCCTCGGTGTGGGGTAACAAATTATCCAATAAGGATCTTCGAACAACGAGACTGGTAGTGCCCTCGAGTAGCCGAAAATCAACAAGAGGTTTCACACCGTTGAAGGACACAACTTCCATATACGAATATTGAGACATTCTAAAATGTTTTTTTTAACAACATATGATCACTATGGACCACTCACAATTGTCAATGCAATCACAGTCGTACAAAATTGTCGACAAAATCTCAATCATTAAAGTTTAACTTACCGGATTTTCCGTAGCCCATCTAAGAGTATGGTACATGCATGAACTTTTTAAAAAATCGATGATTTCACACTATCAGGTTTTTCAGCATTTTGGAACAATATTCGGTAATCCATGGTGTGTTTTTTTTATAAAAAAAGACGCTATGTTTTTCTCCGCATCAGATTTTAGAAAAACGATAAAATTGCATACTAGCATTTTAAAATACACTACAAAATATTTAGAATTCTACTAATTTTTAACTTGTCATACCGAATTTTGTGTTCACTCTTTTTTAATAAAAATTTGACAATTTTTTTTTGAATATTATGAAAAATTGTGGAAATATCAAATATGAATGAGAGGATGTCAGAATAAAATCTCCAAATAAAATGATTGGTGGATGTTAGAGAGCAATTAAAAAAGAGAGTTTATAGGTGATTTCAAGGAGGTGGCAATAACATATTCCTTAGAATAATACACTTTAAACACGGCTCAAGAAGTGTTGTAAGTCCATATACTCATCAAAGTTACAATGATTTTTATATTTTAAAAATTAGTTATTCAAATGTACTATTTTGGTTTTAGTAGGACACACCCAAACCAAATGGCATGGTTATGAATAACTCGAATTTTTTTATGTTAGTAAGAATTTAAAAGTTTAAATTAAAAACAAAATAACAATTAATAGTATTAATAATTAATAAAATTTTAAAAAAATTAATTAAGATATCCTTAATCACCACATGAAAAACTTCTAACACGCTGATGAAGCTATCATAAATGACTTGATTTAAGATAAACATAGATAATTTAAAAATTGCATATATATTTAATGTATTATGCAAAATTTATAAGAAAGATAAAAATATAAAAGTTTGGAAAATTTTGAAAGTAATGATCTCGTTGTTATTATATACACGATTGTGAATTTATTTTATTTGTAGTCTTGATGCAACATTGTTTAATTTTCCATCTTGATTTTACTTTAATTTAGTATAGCAATGTATTAGAATTAGAGTTCTAACCAAGGTTTGGAGAATAAGATACTTCACTTTATATAAATTTTTAAATTTTATGTTTATTTGATAAGGCATTCGAATTTTTTTTAATATATTCTCTTATTAATGGGTCAATTTTATTTGATTTTGAGAGAATCTAATATTTAAATTAATTAAAAAACATATAGATTAATTTGAATTTTTTTACAATAAAACTCAAATTAAACTAAACCAAACAATAATATATTGATTTGGATTGAATTTGAATTTTTTTATGATAAACTTTAAATCGAACCAAACTGAGAAATAACATATTAATTTGAGTTGATTTGATTGAATACATTAAAAATAAATGTGAAAATATACTTATCAAAATATTTAATTTACATCAATTAATTTTTTTAAATGATATAAATCTCTAGTTTTTGTTTTTTCATATTAAATAAATAACATTTCATTTTTTTTGTTGAAGTTAAATACTTATACTACATTTCATAATAAGATAATATAAATTATATAAATTAGTTATAATTGATTTGGAGTATACAGACTCGTGGATAGAATTTTAAAAAAACATTATCCGAAACAATTAGAATCAAGTTTTATTTATTTTGTTTGATTTTTGTCTAAATTAAAAAATATTCAATTTAAATATTATTATTTGGTTAGAATTTCGAGTTGATTCAAATTTTTCATAAACCAATAAACATGTCTATGTTCAATATTATTAAACTCTAATATTATGTTAAAATAAAAATTTAACTTTAATTCATTTTATAAAATTAGTAATACCACTCTACATAAATTCTTTTCAGATTTCATGTTTAACCAAAGTAAAACTTGATATTTTCTCAAAAGAGTTTAATCTATTACATATTCAATCAATTAGATAATTTCGAAGTTCGTATTTGGAGATGAAATATTTTGAATATTGTGAATTTGTTCCTAAATTAAGTCTTTTTTTTTTTTTTTAATAAATATTACTTTTTTTTTATTCCCACAAGAGTGCAAGAATAAAAGAAGAGTGTGAGTAGTAATATTAGTTTTAATCCATCTTAAAATCGAGCTTAAGCCCAAAATCACTTTTTCATTTCTTCTCCTTCTTCACTCCGAACCAGAAACCTCTGAATAACGAAAACTCAACAATGTCACGAAACTCCCTAAGATTCGTCAAATTGATTCGCTCTCTCTCCACCGAACCATCTCGCCCCCAAAAAATCGAACGCATAGCCGATGAGCTTTTCAGCCTCAACAGATTCGAACGGCACGACTTCACCGTCCTATGGAGACTCAAAATGGGCCTAGACCGTTACGGTGCTCCGGTCGCCGGCGGCCTTGGTGCATTGGGTTCGGCCGTGTCCGGCCCCGCCGCTGCAGATGCAGCCGCTGCTCCTGCGGAGAAGACGGCTTTTGATATAAAGCTTGAGAAGTACGATGCTGCTGCGAAGATTAAGATAATTAAGGAGGTTAGGTCTTTTACTGATTTAGGGTTGAAGGAAGCTAAGGAGTTGGTTGAGAAGTTTCCTTGTGTTTTGAAGAAGGGGGTTACTAAGGAAGAGGCTAGTTCTATTATGGATAAGCTTAAGGAATTGGGTGCTACGGTTGTACTTGAGTGATTTTCTTTTTCGATCTTTGTTTTTGGTTAGTTGTAGAAATGCTTGTTCTTTGAGATTGTTGATTTATGAGAAAATGGTTGATTTTTATTTCATAGAATTGTGTCTGCTAGGTGTTTGATGAAATGTGCAATAGTTGTTGCAAGTTATTTTTTATCATATATTCTTATGGAAGATACTTTTGGATTAGGAAAGTGTTGATGTTAAATAATAAATGGTATGTATGAGTGTTAATTTTTTTTTTTTAAAGCTACTAGTTAGTCTTGGGTTGTTGAGATTGTTAGATAAGTATGTTGATTAAGTAAAAATGATGTTGTGTTATGTCGGAGAAGTGATTTTGAAGTGAAGTGGCTAATGTTTGGAATTTAACCACTTGAATGCAAATGCTAAGTAGAGTTGCTTTTGCCACGGTCATGATCAGACATATGAATGCGAAAGCTAGGTAGAGTTCTACACAACTATTAAAATGACAGAGTTCCATTTGATTGTTCGAAATATGGGGTTCGCACTGAATGCACTAAAGTTGGGTTGGAATAGTTTGGAAGCTTTTTGATGAACCGGCAATTAGAAAAGATGATTGGATCATAGGTAATGAAAATCTTCTGTACAGATGGAACTTACTGTTACTTTAACTTAGAACTGATTACAACTTTAGATATTAGCAGGGTTTTAAAAAAATGGTCGCGGTCATGCTGCGTAATGGTTTTCACGATTTCTGTTAGTACAGGTGCCGTGATACTGATTGCGGTCGTTGTGGTGTGAATTAACCACAATTTGTTCTTTAATATAGAAAACGGTGATAACGGTATCGGTTTGTCATCTGCCAAAACCGTTTTGTCGCAGCCGTTTTCGCGATCGTAGACCGTTTTGTAAAACCCTAGATATTAGTATAGAACACTTAGCTTCGAGGCAAGTCATCTAGTTGGAAAAGTTGGAGATAATTTATTTTCCTTCATTTCCCTGAGTCTATCTTGTTTAAAATTTATTTTGGATCAGCGATTTGATAGGTATAAATATTAGTCCTAATTTTAGAACAATTATTTCATGTATTTGAGTTATCATAAATTCATAATAATAGCCTGTTTTTGTCTAATCCTCCTGAAGCCTCTATTTACTATAATTCTGTTAGAATTAAGACAGGTTTCATTTAATAGATTGCTTCAATTTTGCTCAGTCTCTGGCTTCTAAGCATATTCATCTCTTTAACTTCTATCTCCCTCCAACCAAGTTTAGGGGGCTATATTTGCAGGTAAGTTCTCTACTTTCTTCTTTTTCTGGTTTTGTTTCTTGACTAGTTTTGGTCTTGTGAGTTCTGTCATTTTTTAGTTGCATAAAGCTTGTACTATTTTACTACTTAAAACTACCTTGTAACCTTTAAATATTCTAAAATTTGTGAGTGGACTAATTCCCGATTATAGTGCCGTATTTCAATACAAGTTGTTTTATCATTCTGTTACATTATTGAATGTAAAAAGCACTTTGATATATTCATCTTGGGTAAGTAGCTTTGAAAATTATAACAACTCTGCTCGCACTGCATGCTGCAAGAGCAATATAACTAGTAATCAATTAAAATGTAGAAAGTAAAGATATAGAGAGGATTTATTTGACAAAAGCTTCAAAAACTCAGTAGAGGGCCTTTGATCAAGAGGAAAAAGAAAAGCAGTGACATGAAAACATAGCTGGTGAGATGAAGGAAAACAGTTTTGGAAAAGTAACACTTGAATCTAGCTGATGTTTCATCTTTTTGTAAGTTTAGAAAGTAAACATCCCCTCAACTATGTTAACACTTCCCACATGTTACGCATAACAATTTATTTTATCATAACACACTTTGAGAGAGTCATTCATATATTAAAGTAGTTTTGATGAAATGCAGAGTACAAGAATTATATGCTATTTGTAGATAAGCTACATTATTGTGGTTGCAAATGTAAGGAAGTTTATTGGTCAAAATAACTATCTTATATTTTTCTCAATTTTAAAGAGATTTAGAGATTCTAAATTTATTCTAGGGAAATTCTGCTAAGCTCAGTTGAACTTATTCCTTTCCCAACAGATGTAGGAGAAAAGTCTTATAATTTCCCCACGTCTTCCTATCCACAGAATCATGAATGCTGACATTGTTTCTCTTTAAAAAGTGGTCTTTGATTTCCTTTAAATCCTTCTCTGCACGAGTGACGATAACACGATTCAGAGCATCATCTTCATTCACCAAATCATTCAAGGCATTGCATACCACCTAAATCAGTTTAACATTTTACATGATTAATCAAAACTATAGAACAGAGAAATTCTAAAGTAGGAAAGGGTTACTACATTATTTTCACGTTTTTTGTTACCTTGGCCAAATATCTTTGGGGATCATTGATGCAACGAACAATAGTACGCAGTGCTCCAATGTATTCATCAATTGTACTAGCTAATAAACCCTACGATTGTAATATAATTTCTTTGATAAATTTTGCAGAAAATACTGATAGATAGTGACACCTGTTTTTCTCTTTGTATTCTGTTTGGAGAAAATAGAATAGAAACACATCTTACCTTGTTTATTGTTGTACCAAATAAGTCCTTAAAGATATTGAAAGTCACACTTAGCTGTTTCTTACTTCTTGTACTTAAAATTCTAATCATTTCGTCATCGTTGAAAGCTTTCCTTTCAATCAATTGATGAAGAATATTTGCTTCAGAATGTGCGACATTCTCATCAAACTCTTCTCCGTCGTACTTGTAAGTGCTTATAACTGCAATCAACAACTGCATGAAAGTTCGAAAGTTTAAAAGTACAGCTTAGAAAATGAGTCATCTAGACTTCATTCAACGTTTAAGAATGACATACTTTGCGAATATCACCAGTAGTTTGTGAAGCAACATCTTCTTCCAGGGAATGCTTGTAAAGAGATTGATATGAACGCTTTACTGCCAAAAGCTCTTCAGAATTTTTAGTACAAGCAATCTCAATTATTACTTTGTAATCTGGTGTTGCCTTCTTTAATGCCGCATCAATCAGTGTAGCTTCTCTTTCAGCTGGATCCATTGTCCAAAGGCAAATGGCTCTCTGATTTCAATGGTGTGAATATTTTGCAATTAGAATGTTCATTCTAAAATATAAGCTACAATATTGTATTGTTATAGAGTTTGAAACCTATTTCAATCAATATAGAATATTAGTGTTATGACTTGTAATATTTTTACCTCAAAGTTTCCTGAAAGTTCAGATTTGAGCAGTTCGATAAGATCCTGATGATAGATTTCTTGATAAGCTAGCCTCACAAGTTTCCTTTGAGCTGCATTTCGGTTTGCTAGTATGGATATAAGCGCTGTCTCGTTTGTCCCGAATCCTGCACAATAAAACCATGAATGTATTGTAACAGTATCTCAGATGATAAAACGTTGCAGATATATTTTATGTGCTTAAGCACAAGTTTGAACCCGCAATACTGTCATTTCATTCAGTATGTGAGTTGTGTCACTAAAATTAGTGATTGAAATTTGATATTTGCTATAGTCAGTTATGAAACATAAGTATGTAAAATTTCATAAGAAACATCAAATTTTTAACAGAACAAAATTGAGGAAAGAGAACCTTTGCATGCATTCATGATAGTTTCAGCATCTTCAATTGGAGAAAAATCTTTTGCATAGATTAGAGAAGCCATTTTGTTTAGTTTCTTAGCTTTAGTTCCAAGATTTGGATTTTTTTTTATAAAAGAAATGTTTTTCATTTTCAATTTATAGAATAGAAAGCTTAAAATAACTGAATTTTAGTAATTAACATCCTAATAACTTAATGTGTTATTTAAAAAACTTCCTTTTTCAATAAGTAAAAATAACTGAAATATGTTATTGTAAAGTGATCTTTAACCTATAAAAAGAATAATAACGAACTTATGTATGTTTGGTTTAACGTCTAACAATTATTTATCACGTTCCAAAGCACTTCCAAAAAAAAAAAAACAGAAGCTAGAAATAGTGATTTTAAATTTTGTTGCAATATCACCGCGCGCGCATATATATACATATATATATATATATATATATATATATATATATATATATATATATATATATATATATATATATATATATATATATATATATATATATATATATATATATATATATATACATCAAAGTAGACGTGATCTAATTTATATTTGTTATTTAGATCTGTTCTGGTCTGGGCCCAGCCTCACGGTCCAGTCCAATAACGCACAAGGCTCATTAAGTGGAATAGCCTGACCTGACACACACACCCATAGGACGGGCAGGGTATGCTCTCCGCCGAGCGGGACGGCACGTCCCGTAGCATCCTCAACGCCCCCTTTTTGGCCGAACAGAGCATCCCCGGTCCATCGGGCAAGACCACATGGCTCTTCCGCGTTCTCGCGTGCTCCCCTCTGCAGGGAGAACAACGTGCCTCCGGGGAACCTCCCGAGCTCCCCTCTGCGGGGAGAACAACCTGCCCGGTGCACGTTCTCCACGTGCTCCCCTCCGCGGGGACACGTCATCAACCAACTGCCCACCTCCGAAAAAGCAGGTCAAACCCACTTTCCGGAGATCAAGGAGCAGTTGGACTAGGGCGAATACCACGTCCTGGTCTTCACTACGCCACGTAAGCCCTAGCAGTCACCTGGGTTGGGCCTGGCAATCCAGCCCAACGCAAGTGACCGTTGGCCCAGCGCTGGGGTCTCTCTATAAATACCCTCTTCCTCAAGAGGGTCAGGTAATTCACTTCTTACCCCAATTCTGTACTTTGCTCTCACTCTGCCCAATTTCTTACATTGGCATCGGAGTGTCTTGCAGGTACACCCCCTTCTCCTCCTCATCACCGGTGAACAGGTAGCAGTCCAACAACGTGTGGCCGGCCCGTGATCCCCTTCTGATCAGGTCAGATCAGTGACGCCGTCTGTGGGAAAAGAAACTTCCCCGTTACTCCGAGCAGAAAACCAAAGTTTCACCAAACTCCACGATCATGGCTAGCCCACACCGCGACGATG